AAAAAAAAAAAAAAAGTGTCCTTTTCCAGTAACAACTAGAAAGTAAAAATTAGACAAGTGTTTCTCTCTATTCCAGGGAAAATGCCATGTCAAGAGAAAATGGCTCAAAGCATCTTGCAAGCAGGGAAGCATCCTGCTTTGGTTGAGGAAGCCTGGGGAGACATAGAGACTACAAAGCCACGAGGAGAAAGGCTGTGAACACGAAGGGGCAATGAAGCAGAGTGAATCCCTATAAACAGACACTCACTATGGAAATCAAGAAGATGGACAGACAGCACTTCTACAGCTAAGACATCCATTTCAGAACTGGGAGATGGGCACATCAAGGAAAAGAAAAGTCATGCCAACAGGGTAACTAACATAACCCCCTGCTTGAGGCTCATAAACCAAATGCATTTGATAATTCCTGTTTTTGTTTGTTTGCCTTTTCAGGCTCCCTTGGGACTAACACTATTCCTAGAAGAAGATAAAATCAAGTTAACCTGACTATTCCTTACTGCTGGGGTCTTAAGTCTGTCAAAAATGTAAGTAGACAGTGACCCCAAATCACATACCGTAAATACAAGTTAATTCATCTATAGATTTCCTTCACTCTTTTATGTTACAAAAGTAACACAAATTGTGCTGTGTGTTTATGGTCCTACACATTATACAAATGTATTGCTGCTCTATAAGCTTTTATGTTTGATATAATTTAGGGGTTGGAGGGGAATTAGGCTTTAACTGTCCTTCTGCAATTCAGTAACAACCTACCTCCTGACTGGACACAGTGAACACGAGGTCTGCTCAAAATTTAACCTGGCAGAGATAGTTACATCAGTGACTTTAGTTTCTTTTTAAACTTTCACTTTATTTCCTTTAATATGTAATATATTCATAAGAAAGTAACCTAAATGAAGATAAGGAACTTTGTTTTGTTCAGTGCTGTACTAGCTACCTACTAGTGCTCTGGGCACTCAGTAAATGCTTCAGACAAGAAGTATGTAAAAATAATGGCCCTCTAATATGTGTTGAATGAATGAATGAACATATAACATCACTGGTCCACCTGCCTATCTCTGGACAGATGTCGAAGCATCTGTCTCTGAACGTCCCTTAGCACTTAACATAGCAAAGTCAAGCCAAGAAAGGAGGCAGAGGTGACCAATATTTTCCCAGCTTGGTTTGAAGACTAAATCGGAAGGATTTCCACTGAGCCCCTCACTCCTATCAGAACTCTTCAGGGCTACCCAAGTACCACGCAGCCACGACTGGGTACGTAACGGGGTCCTCTATTCCTCGTGGCTCACTGCCGCCCACTCCTTTCATACAAAGTGCCTCTTCCTCTTGCTCTTCAACCTCCTGGCTGGCCTTTCAGGTCCTAACGTGTCTGTTCTGCCCCATCACAGAATATTTACACATGCTGCTTAATGGGCTTCTAACAACCCTCTTCACCCAGATAAATCATGTTCGTTTCAGCCCAGCTCTGCTACGGCAAAGGACACTTCCCTGGCTCAGTCCCCCTATTGATGGCTGTCATAACACAGGCCTCCTTCCTTTTTATTACTCAGCAGTGGTCACTTCACACATACATGAGTGATCACGAAGTGAACCTCCATCTCGTTCACTAGACTGTAAGCCCCTCAAGGCTAGGGACGGTGTCTGGATTCTGTTAAAGCCTGTGTCCACTGAGACCCAGAATGAGGCCTGTGCTCAAGATATATGCAATAGAACTTTCTACAATGACTGAATGGGCAAGAATACCAGAGCTAGAATCTATTTGTATGGAAGACAGAGAGGACAGGACACAGGACATCAGACAGACAAGGAAGCGAGGAGATGACAGCGAGGGTGGCAGGCAGACAGGAGGGAACGAGTGACAGGGGCAGGCAGCACCAAGTCCCCTGACACTGAAGAAGAAGGACTACATTGTCGGTCTGAGGCAGGAGAGACCTGGGCAGCATGGTGGGAGACACTCAGCAGAGGCACTCAGGCATGGGCAGCCCTCCACAGCTTAACAGGTTCAGGCCAAAACAGAGGCAGGGAAAGGAAGAATCAGGGACAAACAGAACACAGGAGGAAAGGAAGGGCAACCTGCACAAGGCCAGGCCTGCCAGTTCTATGCCAAACTCACGACACACCAGGGCTGCAGATACATGCTCACACAGAGACGACACCCGAAACAGAACACAGGGAGAGCACACACGACTTGAAAAGGAAGATAGGAGAACACCGCAGGATCCACATGAAGCCTGTTTACCCGTCAATAAAGGTTCGGGAGGAAGGCTGGTCAGTCTTGCACATTATGTATTGATAAAGCTTTTGGCTCACCAGCATGCCCCACCAGAGCTGACTGAAGGAAGGCGTCGTGGATAAACTAAACATCCTTCATTGGCCTCAGGCACCCTAATATCGGGAAACCCATGTACTGAGAGCCAGGCAGGCGGGAAGACGGCCGAGAGCAGTTGGCAAGCTGTGATCGTAGCGTGGCACGGGGCTGAGGCCCGCCCTCACAAACTCCCTCAGGGGCAGCTACAATGGGGCATCTAGTTCCACAGAGCTCGAGCGGTTACCTTCAAACAAGAGACCACTACAGGTGCTCAATAAATATAAAAGCAATCTGTCCTGAGATAGGCGTTTTTAGCCTAGAGATTCAAGGGTGGGAGGTTTGGGGTAAGATATCTGTGAACCCTGAGACGGAATGCCAATTTCAGAACATATATGTGTGTGTATTTTCTCCTTGGGGAACGTGGTCTGTAATTTTTTTTAATTAGATATTTAAAGGAGCTCTTAGCCAGCGCCTTTCCTCTAAAGATTCAGAACCACTGTTGTAAGATAAAATCTACACGCTAAAATTAAATTTGACATTTAAACTAAAATAAGAACCACTTAGGGGCACCTGGATGGCTCGGTTGGTTGGGCCTCTGACTTTTGCTCAGGTCATGATCTCGCGGTCCATGAGTTCAAGCCCCGCATCGGGCTCTGTGCTGACAGCTCAGAGCCTGGAGCCTGTTTCGGATTCTGTGTCTCCCTCCCTCTTTCTCTCTGCCCCTCCCCTGCTCATGCGCACTCGCCCGCTCTCTCTCAAAAATAAATATTAAAAAAAATTTTTTTTAAATAAGAACTACCTAGAAACAACATTTCTGGGGCACTCAGTCTGTTCAGTGTCTGACTTTGGCTCAGGTCACCATCTCTCAGGTCATGAGTTCAAGCCCCACATCAGACTGTCTGCTATCCGCACAGAGCCCACTTTGGATCCTCTGTCCCCCTCCCACTCTGCCTCTGCCGTGTCTCGCTCTCTCTAAACAAACATTAAACAAAAACAAGAAACAACACTTCCACTTTCTGAAGATTTTAACATTCCTCCGTTAGGGGGTGGAATGGGGCCTGAAGTCCTTCATCCAAACATAATCTTCGGTAAGATTTAAAATAATACACCAAAAATTTTATTAATTTTTAGAAAACACAATTTTTTACAGTTTTCACTCCCTCTATCAAACAAGGGTTTTCAAGTTACTTTAAAGCACTGATTCTCAATAGTTTTTGGACTCTTCTGAAGGATAGCTGGGGATACTCTCCAGAGAAACATATGTAAGCATATGTGCTCATTCATGTAGGGGTTCCACTGAAGCCACCCCATTTCAACTCTTATTTTGCAGCAAATATACCACCTTATTAGCATACTGGCATTTTAAAGGAAAACTCAGGACAGAAAGGAGGATGGTAACATTTTCGTAGCTTTATACGTAAGTTAGATTGTATGTTACACAGTACTTTTTTGGAACTGGAAAAATAAGTATCTCAAAATCAGATTATTTTAAAGTGGCTCTTTAAAATTTAAGAGCCACCGATTACACAAGCATTTTTATTTTAATGTTTGTTTTTGAGAGAGAGAGACAGAGCGTGAGCAAGGGAGATACAGAGAGAGGGAAACAGAATCCGAAGCAGATTCCAGGCCCCAAGCCGTCAGCGCAAAGCTCGACGCTGGGCTCGAACTCAAGAACTATGAGATCATGACCTGAGCTGAAGTCGGACACTTAACTGACTGAGCCACCCAGGCGCCCCTGCACGAGCATTTTAAGAGTATTCACACATACACCAAGGACATTTCTGGACTTATTTTCAATCCATACAATTTAAACCACAGTAAAGGGTAGGCTCTCATTTTAAATCTCTCTGAAGAAATACTTTCAGTCTTCGAAAATAACAGACTGATTAGGAAACAACACTATTCCCCTGGAGAGGACACTGGAAGCAAAACGTCTCTTACGGTGGCAGTTTGTAACAAAAGGCTCCACGTTTCCTGAACGCAAGGCGTTCTTCGTCCCTTCATTTACAATACCCACAACGCTCCACGGATCAGATCCCCTCTTGGGGCAATGCCATCGATCCCAGCTCCTTGCACTCACTCACCAGTGTGCCCAGCCCTGTCGAGGAGCCCACCTACCTTGCATGTCAAAGACCGGGTGCAGGGCTTCTTGGTGTCGAGATCAATGACCCCACAGTGTATGTCAGGATCAAACTCTCTTTCTGCCAAAAGCACACAGACATTACAATGGGCTCATCGATGGGCTCATCCTTCATTAGTTTTGACAACAGTAGAACGATTCTCAAAACAGGCAAATTCTAACTTGAATAAAATCTACGACATCATCAATAAATATAAAATAGACAACGTGCGAGTGCTGCCAAGCCGCAGCAAGAGACGCCACAAAGAGCGCGGGGGACTACTGCCATCGCTTGACGGGAAAGGAAGTGTGCATGTCAGCGTTCCTGCCGCGCTCCATTCAGAAAGACACCGCTCGAAAGCTATTTTTACATCACCCACAGACACGTGTACTTTAAAAGCAAGAGTGAAGAGCAAAGGCAGAGCACCTAAGGAACTTCCACGTAAAGCTGAAGCTGACCAGTTTTGAAAAAGCGGACCTGCAGACAGCAGTCCATTTGCTCCCTCGTGAATACCCAATTATATACAGAGAAACACGAAGAGAAAAAATGTGAAGTTACCTGATAATCTCTTATTTAAAAATTTCCTGTTACTGGAATTATCTTCAGACTTTTTTTCCAGAGCGGATGGTGCGGGAAGCCCTTTGCCATTCAGAATCTGTCCAGGTGAAGGCAAGGTTGGCTTTGGTATCGAGGGGCAGTTAAGGCCAGGCTTGACTGAGGAACTCACAGTAGCAGGACAGGTCGGCCCCACCGTAGATTTCAGTAGTGTGCCGTCCATCTTCGGATGAATCTTCTCCACTTTGACAGAGGGCGTCATGCTGTCACAGGGGGAAGCGGAACATCAGCACCCGAGGGCGCCAGCAGCCCCAGGTGAATGGTGAGCTAGAGGGCTGAAGTCAGAGCCCGGATCTACCCACGCCCTGCACAGGGCTAGGCTCCCAAAGGCGACTTCTGAAAATGTGTCAGGACTACCCAGAAAACTCAGTACGATTCACGTTCATTCAAACTAGAAGCCCTTCTGGGGAGGCAAAAAAACTCCAGCGGACCATCGGATTGACGTGGTCTTTCATCATCCAGGACAATCTTACGCATGAGTCCACAGGGGAACTAAGCCTGATACCCAACTCAATTCCTGTAAGACGCAAAACGGGAAAGGGTCTAAAAGGACCAGAGACTATCTGTAAAACCTTTAGAGAATATCTTCAGAGAACTATCATTTTAAAGAAAGGATCCATCAAAACAAATCAAACTGAGTGAATAGGGGCAAGAATAACTGGAGTTAGATAGTATGTCCAAGAAGTGTCACTAAAGACATACATGAATTCAAATGAGCCTAACCAGATCTCTGAGAAGAGGCTCTCTGCCCATCAGTGAGGGACACCAATGTTTAGTTATGTAATGTGTCACTGAAGTGATAATTCTCTAGTCTCTGAAAAAAGTTTCTATAATAAGAGTTCAGAATATAAGTGTCTGGCACACAGCTGGTGAGCACTGAATACCTGTGCCACTAAGAAAGAATTAATTTTTCTGGGAATCTTACTGACACTAGCATTTGGATGGCAAATGTTGGTATGGAGCTACCAGTTGGCCTGGTCCCCCTCTTAAACCCAGCTCCAAATAAAGAAGATTCAGATTGATGAGGTTTTCTAAACTTTGTTCAGTAGAGTCCGTGCTCAAACAGCTGTTAAGCTGGCGAGTGACTTACACATAGCACTGGCATTTTCTTTGGCTTTCGGAAAGGTCCAGGAACGAAAGCCAAGCTTGCTGTACTTGTACTTCTGACAAATGGGGGGGGGG